ATAAAAAAAATATTTGAGACAATAACATAAAATTTTGTTAAAAATCAAAGAGAAAATTAAAAATGCTTTAATTTGATACCCAACAACCCATATTTTGTTTAAAATAACATAACCCTAAAAATGACAGTTGACAGTCGCCATCTTGAATTTTTATTTCTTTTCTAATTTGATGTATATCCCGATGTATTTGAGGTAAAACCATCGAGTTTGGACTTAAATAAGTCAATTTTTAAATTTAATTAACACTAAAATAATTTTAAATCAACTTTAAGGGATATAAAAAAAATATTTGAGACAATAACATAAAATGTTGTTAAAAATCAAAGAGGAAATTAAAAATGCTTTAATTTGATACCCAACAACCCATGTTTTGGATAGAATAACATAACCATAAAAATGACAGATGACAGCCGCCATCTTTAATTTTTATTCTTTTTTAATTTGATGTATATCCCGATGTATTTGAGGTAAAACCATCGAGTTTGGACTTAAATAACTCCATTTTTAAATTTAAGTAACACTAAAATAATTTTAAATCAATTTTAAAGGATATAAAAAAATATTTGGGACAATAACATAAAATTTTGTTAAAAATCAAACAGGAAATTAAAAATGCTTTAATTTGATACCCAACAACCCATATTTTGGATAGAATAACATAACCATAAAAATGACAGATGTCAGCCGCCATCTTTAATTTTTATTCGTTTTTAATTTGATGTATATCCCGATGTATTTGAGGTAAAACCATCGAGTTTTGACTTAAATAACTCCATTTTTAAATTTAAGTAACACTAAAATAATTTTAAATCAACTTTAAGGGTTATAAAAAAAATATTTAAGATAATAACATAAAATTTTGTTAAAAATCAAAGAGGAAATTAAAAATGCTTTAATTTGATACCCAACAACCCATGTTTTGGATAGAATAACATAACCATAAAAATGACAGATGNTATTGATAATAATCAAGGTATATGAAAAACCACATATTTTATCCCGGAAATCGATATCACACAAAAAAAACTCGGCTAATATTGGAGAATGAAACAATTTTCGCAAAAAGTGGCATAATACATTGAAAACTTTTTATTCATCCCTTTATTTTTTAATTTTAATCAAACCAAACGATTTTTTTTGTACTTTGATCAGAATCTGGATTACGAAAAAAAAGTTTTGGTATTACTCTGAGGAGTCCAGACATTAACAAAAAGTTTTAGAATTATATTGGCCAAATTACAGGCATTGAAAAAAAAATTTGGAATCACTCAGGTTTAACTTTAATTTGCAAAAAAATTATAGAATTGTCATTGGTGAGACTCCAGATGGCAAGAAAATGCTAGAAGTAACATTGGGCAATGTCCAAGATTCAGGAAAATTTTTGGAATTGCATTGGGTTAACTTTAGTCTGCAGAAAATGTTTGGAATTATATTGGACAAACTCTAAATTGTCGGAAATTGGCCTCTAGTTGCAATTGGTAAGATCCAAGACTTCAAAAAAAGCTATCTCCGACTTGCAAGAAAATATCTGGAATTACATTGACCAAAAACTGCAGATTTGAAAAAAGTTTTTGTAATTACTCTGGTTCAATTTTATTTTAGAAGAAAAATGCTGGAATTGCATTGATAAGATTCTAGATAGCAAGGAAATGTTTGGAGTAACTTTAATCAATGTCCAAATTTCAGGAAAAATTCTAGAATTGCTTTGGCCAAACTTTAAGCTGCCAAAAACGTTTGGAATTACATTGCCCAAATAATAAATTTAGTTAAAAAACGTCAGAAATCATTCAGGCCAAGTTCTAAATTGTTAGAAGAAGGCTAAAATTGCTTTGGTAACAATTTAAATAACTAGAATTATTATTAAGTTCTAGAATTATATTGGCCAAGTTATAAGTATTGAAAAAAAGTTTGGAATCATTTCGGTTGAATTTTAATTTGCAAGAAAATGCTAGGAATAATATTAGAAAACGTCCAAGATTAAGGAAAATTTCTGGAATTGCATTGATCATACTTTAAACTGCAGGAAAATGTTTGAAATTATATTGGATAAATCCTAAATCTAAAATATATTGGATAAATGCTAATTGATAAGATCCAAGACTTCAAAAAAAGTTACACTGAGGTATCTCCAACTTGCAAGAAAATATCTGGAATTGCATTGCCCAAATTTGAAAAAAGTTTTTGTAATTACTCTGGTTCAATTTTATTTTACAAGAAAAATGCTGGAATTGCATTGATAAGATTCTAGATAGCAAGAAAATGCTCGGTGTAACATTAATCAATGTGCAAGTTTCAGGAAAAATTTTGGAATTGCGTTGGCCAAACTTTAAATTGCTAAAAACGTTTGGAATTACATTGTCTAAATAATCAATTTAGTTAAAAAACGTCAGAAATCATTCAGGCCAAGTTCTAAATTGTTAGAAGAAGGCTAAAATTGCTTTGGTAGCAATTTAAATAACTATAATTATTATTAAGTTCTAGAATTATATTGGCCAAGTTATAGGTATTGAAAAAAAGTTTGGAATCATTTAGGTTGAATTTTAATTTGCAAGAAAATGCTAGGAATAATATTAGAAAACGTCCAAGATTAAGGAAAATTTCTGGAANAACCACATATTTTATCCCGGAAATCGATATCACACAAAAAAAACGCGGCTAATATTGGAGAATGAAACAAGTTTCGCAAAAAGTAGCATAATACATTGAAAACTTTGTATTCATCTTTTTATTTTTTTATTTTAATCAAACCAAACGATTTTTGTATCTTGATCAGAATCTGGATTATGAAAAAAATGTTTTGGTATTACTCTGAGGAGTCCAGAAATCAACAAAAAGTTTTAGAATTATATTGGCCAAAGTACAGGTATTGAAAAAAAGTTTGGAATCACTCGGGTTTAACTTTAATTTGCAAAAAAATGATAGAATTGTCATTGGTGAGACTCTTTATAGCAAGAAAATGCTAGGAGTAACATTGGCCAATGTTCAAGATTCAGGAAAATTTTTGGAATTTCATTGGGTTAACGTTAATCTGCAGAAAATGTTGGAAAAATTCTGAAATTGCGTTGGAAAAACTTTAAAGTGCCAAAAACGTTTGGAATTACATTGCCCAAATAATAAATTTAGTTAAAAAAACGTCAGAAATCATTCAGGCCAAGTTCTAAATTGTTAGAAGAAGGCTAAAATTGCTTTGGTAACAATTTAAATAACTATAATTATTATTAAGTTCTAGAATTATATTGGCCAAGTTATAGGTATTGAAAAAAAGTTTGGAATCATTTAGGTTGAATTTTAATTTGCAAGAAAATGCTAGAATAATATTAGAAAATGTTCAAGATTAAGGAAAATTTCTGGAATTGCATTGATCAAACTTTAAACTGCAGGAAAATGTTTGAAATTATATTGGATAAATCCTAAATCGTTGGAAATTGGCCTCTAGTTGCAATTAATAAGATCCAAGACTTCAAAAAAAGCTGCAAGTTACACTGAGCTATCTCCAACTTGCAAGAAAAAATTTGGAATTGCATTGTCCAAACTGCAGATTTGAAAAAAGTTTTTGTAATTACTCTGGTTCAATTTTATTTTATAAGAAAAATGCTGGAATTGCATTGATAAGATTCTAGATAGCAAAGAAATGTTTGGAGTAACTTTAATCAATGTCCAAATTTCAGGAAAAATTTTGGATTTGCGTTGGCCAAACTTTAAACTGCCAAAAAGTTTGGAATTACATTGTCTAAATAACAAATTTAGTTAAAAAAACGTCAGAAATTATTTAGGCCAATTTCTAAATTGTAGTAGATTAATAACATAAAGTGCCAGAAAAAGTCTGGAATCGCATTGGCCCTCACTTGTAACAAAAAGGCTAGAAAATCGATATCACGAAGCAACACACACAAAAAAACCCAGGAAAATGCAACAAGTTCCGCAACACGTAGCATAATACATTGAAAACTTTGCATTCACCTCTTCATTTTTTAATTTTAACCAAACCCAACGAATTTTCTTGTATTATTTTGTTCTCGCGAAAACGAAACGAAACGATAAACGGTCGTAAACTTAAACAACGCGCATTAACTTCAATTTTACGAACGTATAAACGTCGAATTTTGCGACCGTTTAAGGTAAATTTACGATTATTTTCTACAACACATAAAACTTCTTTCATTCTTTTTGATTCCTTTCAAATTCTTTTTAAATTCTTTTTGAATTATTCAAAATAAAGAGAATTAAAGAAAAAAATAAACGTTTTTTTAAGTGTTATGATTAAAAGAGACGAAAAATGAAGCAACATGTGGGCAGCATTTTCAAGATCACTGGAAATTCTGGTGGCGTTTTTCGAATATTACAGTGCAAGGTAAAACGTATTCTAGAATGGTCTTGAATCTAGAGATAGAGTCATTGTTCTCTGCAACGCGTCGAACAATTCAGGTGTTGTTATTCGTCGTCGCCGGATTCTATCAGAATCCGGGGGGTTGGAAACTGGGTTGGTGCAGAATGCGTTTCCCATTTCCGGTGTTCCGACAACCTTATCTACGTCCGTCCCTAAACGCGTTTCTATTCGCCAAATTTAGCACTTGATACAATAAAGATCAAAAATTTTCTTAATAATACAATACTCACATTATCATCGATCTGAATCCGATTTTAATCCGGAATAATTCGGCGTGATTCTGTAACAAAAATGATTAACAAATTAAGATCTATTTAATCGAACAACAAAGTAACACAAAATTATTATTTATATCATATTCGGGTCGTTTTGAGCTATCTCTGTTCGCATTTTTCACGGCGATTTTGACACGGCCCTATCGGATTTTAATAAATTTGGCCTTTATGGGTCGGTTGGGATGTTTGATTTCGGAAACGGGGAGTCCCCATCGACGGATAAACACGCAATTTATGGCCGCAAAAAATGAGGGGGTAAAATTTTTTTGACTAATTTGGGTTCAATTTCTTTTTGTTTCACGCCTTCCACATCGACGTCCAACCCGGTACACCAAAAGAGCTCAACTAGAGTAAGTAAATTTTACTTATATTTATCTTTAAAAAATCATATCTCAAAAACGAATTGAGATATCGCGATGAAATAAGAAACATCTCAAAGATAATTTAATTAATATTAAGTAAATCGAAGCTCATTTCTTTGATTTTATAAATGTTGGAGTTATGATTTTTTGAATACAACCCTGCATAAAGTAATAATCTTTAAAAAAAATCATATCTCAAAAACGAATTGAGATATCGCGATGAAATAAGAAGCATCTCAAAGATAATTTAATTAATATTAAGTAAATCGAAGCTCATTTCTTTGATTTTATAAATGTTGGAGTTATGATTTTTTGAATACAACCCTGCATAAAGTAATAATCTTTAAAAAAAATCATATCTCAAAAACGAATTGAGATATCGCGATGAAATAAGAAGCATCTCAAAGATAATTTAATTAATATTAAGTAAATCGAAGCTCATTTCTTTGATTTTATAAATGTTGGAGTTATGATTTTTTGAATACAACCCTGCATAAAGTAATAATCTTTAAAAAAAATCATATCTCAAAAACGAATTGAGATATCGCGATGAAATAAGAAGCATCTCAAAGATAATTTAATTAATATTAAGTAAATCGAAGCTCATTTCTTTGATTTTATAAATGTTGGAGTTATGATTTTTTGAATACAACCCTGCATAAAGTAATAATCTTTAAAAAAAATCATATCTCAAAAACGAATTGAGATATCGCGATGAAATAAGAAGCATCTCAAAGATAATTTAATTAATATTAAGTAAATCGAAGCTTATTTCTTTGATTTTAAAAATGTTGGAGTTATGATTTTTTGAATTCAACCTAAATCGCGGAAATTTGAAATACATTCGATCATATCTTAAAAACGAATTGAGATATCGCGATGAAATAAGAAGCATTTCAAAGCTAATTTAATTAATATTAAACAAATCGAAGCTCATTTCTTTAATTTCAAAAATGTTGGAGTTATGATTTTTTGAATTCAACCTAAATCGCGGAAATTTGAAATACATTCGATCATATCTCAAAAACGAATTGAGATACCGCGATGAAATAAAAAGCATTTCAAAGCTAATTTAATTAATATTAAATAAATCAAAGCTCATTTCTTTAATTTCAAAAATGTTGGAGTTACGATTTTTTGAATTCAACCTAAATCGCGCAAATTTGAAATACATTCGATTATATCTCAAAAACGAATTGAGATATCGTGATGAAATAAGAAGCACCTCAAAGCTAATTTAATTAATATTAAATAAATCGAAGCTCATTTCTTTGATTTTAAAAATGTTGGAGTTATGATTTTTTGAATACAACCCTGCATAAACTACAAATAATCTTTAAAAAAAATCATATCTCAAAAACGAATTGAGATATCGCGATGAAATAAGAAGCATCTCAAAGCTAATTTAATTAATATTAAATAAATCGAAGCTCATTTCTTTGATTTTAAAAATGTTGGAGTTATGATTTTTTGAATTCAACCTAAATCGCGGAAATTTGAAACATTCATCTTTAACAAATCATATCTCAAAAACGAATTGAGATATCGCGATGAAATAAGAAGCAACTTAAAGCTAATTTAGTTGATATTCAATAAATCGCAGCTCATTTCTTTAATATCAAAAATGTTGGAGTTATGATTTTTTGAATTCAACCTAAATCGCGCAAATTTGAAACATTCATCTTTAACAAATCATATCTCAAAAACGAATTGAGATATCGCGATAAAATAAGAAGCATCTCAAAGCTAATTTAGTTGATATTAAATAAATCGAAGCTTATTTCTTTAATTTCAAAAATGTTGGAGTTATGATTTTTTGAATACAACCCTGCATAAACTAGTAATAATCTTTAAAAAAAAATCATATCTCAAAAACGAATTGAGATATCGCGATGAAATAAGAAGCTCATTAAAGCTAATTTAATTAATATTAAATAAATCGAAGCTCATTTCTTTAATTTCAAAAATGTTGGAGTTATGATTTTTTGAATTCAACCTAAATCACGCAAATTAGAAATACATTCGATCATATCTCAAAAACGAATTGAGATATCGCGATGAAATAAGAAGCATCACAAAGCTAATTTAATTAATATTAAATAAATCGAAGCTCATTTCTTTGATTTTAAAAATGTTGGAGTTATGATTTTTTGAATACAACCCTGCATAAACTAGTAATAATCTTTAAAAAAAAATCATATCTCAAAATCGAATTGAGATATCGCGATGAAATAAGAAGCATCTCAAAGCTAATTTAATTAATATTAAATAAATCGAAGCTCATTTCTTTGATTTTAAAAATGTTGGAGTTATGATTTTTTGAATTCAACCTAAATCACGCAAATTTGGAAAAAAACAAAAATCGTTAATGATTTTATTTTAGGACTACAGGAAGTCCACAGGCAAAATCGCCAGCAGGAAGCAGTGCAGGAGCGGGCCCCCCAGAAGCCCGAACACCAACGGCACCCAACAAAGCGCTACAAAATGTCAAAGGGGATCATCCTTCGGTAAATCAATTTGTCCACCCTAATATATTTAGATAAAGCTAAAGAGGAATATTTTGAATTATTTGCAATAACTTGAAAATTGTATGAGTTAGTAAAAGCGACTTTGGGATATTTCGAAATTAAAAAAGCTCCTAGCGTGTAAATCACTCCATTTCCGCGTTTCCACATCGATTTTTCCAAATCCGTACAAATTACATGCAAATTCACCGTCTGTCGTCACCTGTACCAACCTGTACATGCAAATTTCCCTTCAACCAGAAGCCGTTTATCTCTGTCAACGTAAACGATTAATTAACAATTAATTAGCATCTTCGTTAAATTAACAAACCTAACCCAACCTAAATGAAATGGGATTGTGGGAGGGGATATAAAAACAAAGCGAACCTAAGATTTCAGTTTAGAAGTAAATTTCCTTCCAAACTGATCGCCCCAAAATAGTGAGTAAAATTTTTTTGAAACTTTTGGCTTCATTTGGCGTTATTTTCAGATGGCGTTTTTACAAAACAGATCCATCTCCTTGGTCGACATGTACATAGACAACTCGGAGCCATCTGAAAATGTCGGGCAGATACATTTCTCGCTTGAATACGACTTCCAAAACACCACTTTAATCCTCAGGATAATACAAGTACTTTAAATAATAACAAAAAACTTTTTTTAATACAAATTTATCTTTTCTTAGGGTAAAGAACTTCCTGCGAAAGATTTATCGGGAACGAGCGACCCCTATGTAAGAGTGACGTTATTACCGGACAAAAAACACCGTCTTGAAACGAAGATCAAAAGGCGAACGTTAAACCCGAGATGGAACGAGACATTCTATTTCGAGGGCTTTCCCATACAAAAGTTACAATCTCGAGTACTTCATTTGCATGTTTTTGATTACGATAGATTTTCGAGAGATGACTCTATCGGTGAAGTATTCTTACCGCTGTGCCAAGTACGTAACCCAACCACTTTTGATTCACAATTAAAATGATTACGAACTTTTAGGTGGATTTAAGTGAAAAACCTTCGTTTTGGAAAGCGCTAAAACCGCCGGCGAAAGATAAATGCGGCGAATTATTAACCTCATTATGTTATCATCCGAGTAATAGCATCCTCACGCTCAGTTTGCTCAAGGCGAGGAATCTCAAAGCGAAAGATATCAATGGCAAATCAGACCCGTACGTTAAGGTTTGGTTGCAATTCGGCGATAAACGCATCGAAAAGCGTAAAACGGCGATTTTCAAATGTACGTTAAATCCGGTTTTTAACGAGTCGTTTTCGTTTAATGTGCCATGGGAAAAAATTAGGGAATGTTCTTTGGATGTTATGGTTATGGACTTTGATAATATAGGAAGGAACGAACTTATAGGAAGGATATTGTTAGCAGGTAAAAGTACATATTTTACATGAGATAAAGAAAATTAATTCATTCCGTTAATATCCTTCGAATTCAATCTCCAAAATAATGTTAAATTTGAAAAAATCGTCCCCGATTTGTTTGAAATGACACCCAACACGACCTATTTTAGGTAAGATCAATATATTGAATTGACAGACGGCCATTTTGGATAATGATCGAGTGAAAGTAACCTAAAATTCGTAAATGTCAGTTTTAGTTAGCTTGAAATGACACCAAACATGACATATTTTGGGTTAAATCAAAATATCTAATTGACAGGTTGCCATTTTGGATTATCATAAAATGAAATAAACATAAAATTCGTAATTATCATCTTTGGTTAGTTTGAAATGACACCCAACATGACATATTTTGGGTTAAATCAAAATATTTAATCGACTGGTGGCCATTTTGAATAACGATCGAGTGAAAGTAACCTAAAATTCGTAAATGTCAGTTTTAGTTAGCTTGAAATGACACCAAACATGACATATTTTGGGTTAAATTAAAATATCTAATTGACAGGTCGCCATTTTGGATTGTCATAAAGTGAAATTAACATAAAATTCGTAAATATCATCTTTGGTTAGCTTGAAATGACACCCAACATGGCTTATTTTGGGTTAAATCAAAATATCTCATTGACAGGCGGCCATTTTGGATTTTCATTTTTATAAAAAAATTGTTTTACTAATATTTTCTTCTCAGAAACTAAAAAACCTTTAATTTGAGTCCAAACACGATGGGGTTATCTTAAAAATATTTCATTTAAACCTAAATGGATATAGATATAGATAACCGCCATTTTGAAAAATGACATTTAGATAACCCGGTCGTGTTGGTACTCATTTTAAAGGATTTTTAATCACGATTGCGATCTTTTATATTAAATTTTAAAAAAATAATCATTTTAGGATTCAACCTAATCAAACCTAAATGAACCTAACCTAACATTATAAAATAATACTAATATTACGTTCCCAAACATAAAAAATCTTTTGATTTGAGTCCAAACACGGCGGGATTATTTCAAAAACTTTCAATATGAACCTAAGTGGATATAGATATAGATAACCGCCATTTTGAAAAATTAAATTTAGATAACCCGGTCGTGTTGGTACTCATTTTAAAGGATTTTTAATCGCGATTACGTTTCTATATATTAAATTTTAAAAAAATAATCATTTCAAAACACAACCTAATCAAACCTAACCTAAATTAATAAAGTAAAAAAATTAATTTATTAATATTTTCTTGTCAGAAATAAAAAATCCTTCAATTTGAGTCCAAACACGATGGGGTTATTTCAAAAATATTCCATTTAAACCTAAGTGGATATAGATATAGATAACCGCCATTTTGAAAAATGACATTTAGATAACCTCGTCGAGTTGGTACTCATTTTAAAGGATTTTTAATCGCGATTACGATTTTTGATATTAAATTTTAAGAAAATAATCATTTTAAAACTCAACCTAATCAAACCTAACCTTAATTAATCAAGTAAAAAAATTTATTTATTAATATTTTCTTCCCAAACATAAAAAATCCTTTAATTTGAGTCTAAACACGATGGGATTATCTAAAAAATTTTCAATTTCAACCTAAGTGGATATAGATATAGATAACCGCCATTTTGAAAAATAAAATTTAGATAACCTCGTCGAGTTGGTACTCATTTTAAAGGATTTTTAATCGCGATTACGATTTTTGATATTAAATTTAAAAAAAATAATTATTTTAAAACTCAACCTAATCAAACCTAACTTAAATTAATCAAGTAAAAAAATTTATTTATTAATATTTTCTTCCCAAACATAAAAAATCCTTTCATTTGAGTCTAAACACGATGGGATTATCTCAAAAACTTTCAATTTCAACCTAAGTGGTTATAGATATAGATAACCGCCATTTTGAAAAAAGAATTTAGATAACCCCGTCGTGATGGTACTCATTTTAAAGGATTTTTAATCGCGATTACGATTCTATATACTAAATTTTTAAAAAATAATCATTTTAAAACTCAACCTAATCAAACCTAACTTAATCTGTCAAAATAAAAATTTACTTTTATTAATATTTTCTTCCCAAACATAAAAAATCCTTTAATTTGAGTCTAAACACGATAGGATTATCTGAAAAACTTTCAATTTCAACCTAAGTGGTTATAGATATAGATAACCGCCATTTTGAAAAAAAATGTAGATAACCCCGTCGTGTTGGTACTCATTTTAAAGGATTTTTAATCGCGACTACGATTTTTGACATTATATTTTAAAAAAATAATCATTTTAAAATTCAACCTAATCAAACCTAACCTAAATTAATAAAGTAAAAAAATTTATTTATTAATATTTTCTTCCCAATCATAAAAAAACCTTTAATTTGAGTCTAAACACGATGGGGTTATTTCAAAAAGTATTTTTTTGACCTAAATAGATATCGATGGCGGCCATTTTGAAACAAAAAAAGATATCTTAATAATTTTTTTTTTAAATTTTTATTGTAGATATATCGTGTTTGGTATCAAATTAAAGGGAATTTTATTTCCTTTTCAAAAATGTATGAATTTTTATGATTAAGAATTTTTTATTTTTACCGCACGCTTTATTCGAAATAAATGTTCTATTTTAATGCACTTTTATAGAAGCACTAACAAATTTCGAGTCCCTTTCTCTAATTTTTTTTCAGGTAAAAACGGCTCGGGGGCCTCCGAAACGAAACACTGGCAAGATATGATAACAAAACCGAGACAAACCATCGTTCAATGGCACAGATTGAAACCGGAATAAGGCGGTGGCGTATTAACACTTTATTTTGCGGTCTCTTAAAATAAGATTACGATAATATATAAAAATTTTAAGTACGTATTGATTAATTATGATAAAGAACGAATTTTTTTGGTTCAAAGATGAGTACAAAAAAGATTTTTTAAGTGAATAAAATAAAGCGCACTCAACACACGATAAATCGACAATAATTTGAGCTTTTCGAACGGCGATTTATTTGGGATTCATTTTTTTTATGATTTAAGAACGCCAAAAAAATTAATAACTAATTATTAATAAAAAAAATACATGAATAATAAGTCTAAATTCGCTGAGCCTTATTTGAAAGGGGGGAAGAAAATTTTTTAAAATCGAACGAGAAAAAATCTTGGGGTGAAATATTTTTTGTGATAAAAATATGTAATGTTAAATATTATATTGTTATAGGTTTATCGAAGTATATATATTATATATATGATGAAAATTAAGAGAAAAAATTAACAAAAAAAAATTATAAATAGACGAAAAAAAAAGAAAACGCAAAAAAGGTGGTTTTTAAGGAAGAAACCATCGTTTTCTCTTGTTAACTAGCAAATATTTATATGTCAATGTTGTACAAGAGTTGAAAAAGAAGCTTTAGCGTTAAGTTTTATTATTATTATGATTAATATATTGATTTGGACGAGAAAAAAATTAATTAAAACTATGAAAAAAAAATTAAAAACGAGTTGAGTAGAAATTTACGTGTTAATCTAGTAAAAACAATATTCAAAGAACCCAAAATATACAAAAAAAAACCTTTAGGTGTTCTGTATTAAAAAATGATTAAAAAATAAAGAAAATAATTTAAAAAACAATGTGGTTTAAGAAAAAAAGTAAAATTGATCAATTTTTTATACAAAAAAAAGCAATTTTTTTACCAAATTGGCTAAATCTCCTAAGAAAATGAAAGAAAATCTATTGTAATATATTTCTCATCTGTTGTTGCACTTCGCCAAGAAGAAAAGTTATTCTAAAAAATTATTACAAAGAAATTTGGCGAAAATAAATATTAAAAATCACGCAAAAAAAAACGTAATAATGAAACGCAGTGCCTCAACGAAAAAATATTAAGTAAAAAAAGAAAATTTTACACAAAACTTTAATTTTCTTTTCGGAGGCTTCGAATTAAACCGTTTAATTATTATCTTATTTTTATTAAATTTATAAAATCAAGATTTTTAAAATAACGAAAATTTATAAACTCACGAAAAGAGAGAACGAGAGAGAGAGGAAACTAACAAAAAAAATCCCCACACAAATAACATTTAAAAAAAGAAAAAGAAAAAAAAATTAATAATAAAAAATTTTAAAAAAATAACCAAAAAGAGTACGCCCCTGTGTATTACTATTTCGTCGTGACAAAAAAAAAACCCAAAAACGTTCTAAAAAGTTAGATGTCTGTGTAAATACATGTTTTAGAATTTAATGAAAATAAAAGGAAATCAATTTGATGAAAAGGTAACAAAAGAAAAATTAAATTTAGTGGTAATTTCCTGGAAAAATAGCGAACAGGTAAAAAAATTGTAGATTGTAAACGAAAAAATAAAGAAATTAATGTATATTTCGTTGCGATGTTTCATTTTTATCAACAAAAATAACCCACCCTTAGAATAAGGTAAAGAAAAATAAAAAAAAATAACCTTAAAGATGAATTCTAGCTGTGTTACATCACTCCACATGAATATTCAGTCTTTACTCGCCTAATTAACGAAGGGAACATCCTCAAGGGCTAAAAATTAAAATGAAATAAAAAGGGTAAAAACAAAAAGTGAGGTTATCTTACAAAAACAAACAGAAATGATTAAAGGAAGGTTTCTGCGGGTCTTTTAATAAATCACACATGTTTAGCGATACTCTAAAGGGACAAAAAGGATTAAATTAAACGATGTAAAGCAATAAATTAAAAAATAAATCCAAACCTGATAAATAATTTCATAAACAAGTCGTAAATACGCAAATCATGCAAATGGCGGCGTGTTGATGGTAAAGAAGATTTTATCCACCGCATTAGCGCCATCTAGTAACAATTTGACTAACTTTTAACATTAAAGTAAAAATTAATTTATGATGAATTCTAACTTTGTGTTACTTCACTCCACATGAATATTCATTATTTAATCGCCTAATTAAGCAAGGTTACATCGTGAAGGTCTAAAAATTAAAATGAAATAAAAAGGGTAAAAACAAAAAGTGAGGTTATCTTACCGAAACAAACAGAAATGATTAAAGGAAAGTTTCTGCGGGTTTTTTTAATAAATCACACATATCAAGCGATATTCTAAAGGGACAAAAAGGATTAAATTAAACGATGTAAAGCAATAAATTAGAAAATAAATCCAAACCTGGTAAATAATTTCATAAACAAGTCGTAAATACGCAAATCATGCAAATGGCGGCGTGTTGATGGTAAAGAAGATTTTATCCACCGCATTAACGCCATCTAGTAACAATTTGACTAACTTTTAACATTAAGATAAAAATTAATTTGTTTATGATGAATTCTAGCTGTGTGTTACTTCACTCCACGTGAATATTCATTATTTAATCGCCTAATTAAGCAAGGTTACATCGTCAAGGGCTAAAAATTAAAATGAAATAAAAAGCGTAACGATGTTTTAAAATTTGAAATTCTTCGTTATAAGATGATTTTGAGAAATGATTCAGTTATTATGGATGCTTGTGCTGCTTTGTTTTATATTCTTCAAGATTATCATCTCAAAATGAATATTTAAAGTAAATAATTAATGTTTAAACATTAAAAAAGAAAATATTACTGGTAAAAATAGGCAACCCAATTAACACCATGTAAAAATAGTTGCATATACAAATTAACTTAATTTTTCTTTTAATTATTTATAATTTTTCGAACCATTTTACTTAATTAATTTAAATTACGTTAATCAATAATAATATTAAAAATTACCTTTTACAATGAAAACAAAGATATCTATTTTCGTTATTCTTAAAACCCATCAAGGTTTTAAAATTTGAAATTGTTCGTTATACGAAGATTTTGAGAAATAATTCAGTTATTATGGATACTTGTGGTGCTTTACTTTATGTTCTTCAAGATTATTACTTTAAAATGAATACTTAAAGTAAATAATTACTGTTTAAACATTAAAAAGAATGTGATATTTCAAGTAGAGATAGGCAACCTAATTAACACTTTGTAAAAATGGTTGCATACACACACTAATTTAATTTTTTTTTTAATTACTTATACTTTTTCGAATCATTTTACTTACGTTAAAATAATAGGAAATCAATTTGATCAGAAGGTAACAAAAGAAAAAATTAAATTTAGTGGTAATTTCCTGGAAAAATAGCGAACAGGTAAAAAAATTGTAGACCGTAAACGAAAAAATAAAGAAATTAATGTATATTTCGTTGCGATGTTTCACTTTTATCAACGGAAATAACCTAATATCGCTAAACCAATTTGTTTAATAAAGTCTCCTTGAAATAAAATCATCTGAACATAAAAAAATCAAAAAAAATAACCTTTAAGATGAATTCTAGCTGTGTTACATCACTCCACATGAATATTCATTCTTCAATCGCCTAATTAAGCAAGGTTACATCTCCAAGGGCTAAAAATTAAAATGAAATAAAAAGGGTAAAAACAAAAAGTGAGGTTATCTTACCAAAACAAACAGAAATGATTAAAGGAAGGTTTCTGCGGGTCTTTTAATAAATCACACATGTTAAGCGATACTCTAAAGGGACAAAAAGGATTAAATTAAACGATGTAAAGCAATAAATTAAAAAATAAATCCAAACCTGATTAATAAATTCATAAACAAGTCGTAAACATGCAAATGGCGGCGTGTTGATGGTAAAGAAGATTTTATCCACCGCGTTAACGCCATCTAGTGGCTATTTGATTAACGTTTAATATTAAGATAATTAATTTATTTATGATGAATTCAAATTGTGTGTTATTTCACTCCACCAGAATATTCATTCTTTAATCGCCTAATTAACGAAAGAAACATCTTCAAGGGCTAAAAATTGAAATGAAATAAAAAGGGTAAAAACAAAAAATTAGGTTATCTTACCAAAATAAACAGAAATGATTAAAGGAAGGTTTCTGCGGGTCTCTTAATAAATCACACATATTACCGATACTCTATAGGGACAACAAGCATTAAATTAAACGATGTGAAGCAACAAATTAAAAAATAAATCTAATAATTTTATAAACAAGTCGTTAATCTGTAAATGGCGGCGTTTGTTACTGCGTTAACGCCATCTAGTGACAATTTGACTAATTTTTAACCTTAATTTTAAAATAAAAATTGATTTGTTTAAATTTAAATAAAGCTTGATTTTACAAGGGTGATAAAATTAAAGTTATTTAATAAACAAAATTGAAATATTAATGCATTTTAGTAACTACAAAGAAAAAAAAATTTTTTGACGTTTAAAATAGGTTATGTTTCGCTTTTGATTTAAAATTTAATTATTATCATATCGACTGAGATAAACTCAGATCCCAACAACAAAAAAGTTTCTTCGTTCCATAAAACGTGCTTGTAGCCTATTGAATTTCAATGTGCACCTCTTGGGAGCTATCATCGTTATCATTAGCGTACCACCGATATTAATGCCTATATCTAATTCACCAACTGCTTTATTTATTATATCCTCTGATATAGGTTAAAGAGAATTGGTTAAAATATACATCATTGTAAAACCTCTCTTTCAATTTTTCTGTTTCTACGAGCAAGTGGTGTTTAACTTTATCAAAAGTCTTATGTAGTTTACAAAACACATATAAGTCTTCTTTGTTGTAGCAAACTCCTTCCAAATTAGTTTCAAATCACACTAAGCACTAAACCATAAGTAAATCAATTTTAATATTCCAATTCAAGGGCTAAAATAGTTAAAATGTAAATACAAAAAGTGAGGTTATGTTACCAATAAATAAATTGAATAAGATTCGTTTTAAAAATAAAATAGTTGCGTTCTTCGAGGGGATTTGGTTCACATTAAGCGTTTAATACATTTTGTGATTAAAAATAAACCTTTTTAACTTAATATTAACAAATTGTATTGTTAAAAAAGTTTGTTAAGGATTTTAATTTTTTTGGGTTGGTAGTATTTAGGAACTTTTATTTTTATGGAGTTGAATTTGATATAAACTAACCTAAAATAATTTTCATTTATAATTATTTTTTTTTGTATAGAAAGATTAATAAATCATCATTGTCTAATATTATAACGATTTATTTTGTATAAAACAGCTTTGAATGGAAAAATGGAAAGTACTTACCGAGTTTTGAGGTTATTTTTTTAATAATTAAAATTTTTATGTAAAAATAAGACGTTTTTATGATAAAGGCACAAATAGTTCATAAAGTTCTTGATCGTATTGTCTCAAATAATAATCTTGCGGTGTGCAATAATATTCTTGATTGATTTGGAGTGTGGAGCTGAAACAAAAAGCTAGGTTATGTTTACAAGTAATTAATTACGAAAATAAAGCAGAAATTAATTAAAATGTTAATATAGTTAGTGATAAATTGCTTACATTAAAATTGTTGCTAAAATCTAGAATATACTTAAGAATGACAAGTATTATTAGCGCCACCTATGTGATTTGTCAGTTACATACCTTATTATAGGAATCTGTAAATGTAATTGTTAATACTATTAATTAATAATAAAACAAGTAATGACCCTTCTACAAAAATATTTTTACTCTCATTAAAACAAAACTAATAGCGTTTAACATTAATAAATATATGCACCAAAATAATATTAACAAAGAAAAAGAAAAAAAAAATAATAATAAACCCTATTATACAAGCTATAAATAATTAGTGTAATAATAATAATAATAGGTGTGATTTAAATTCGTATAGTTTAACCGAAAAAGTTATTGTTTTATTATTTGAGATAGTAAAATGAACGATATAAATTACTAAAAAGAAAAGAATTAAAATTAAACGACAAAATATACAATTAATTAAAAAAAAATATAACAAAGAGATCGAAATCAAAGGTAAAAAATTAATTAATTAATCGTATTTGTATTTTCGATTTGTTTAAATATACTGGCCCCCTTCTTACTGGCTTCTGGTGAGTTTCTTTTTAACTTAATTAATTAATTAAACTTATTTAATAATAACTAATTTCATTTAATCGAGATTCTTTACATTCGAAATTAATTAGCACCTATTTTTTTTTTTTTTTCATTTTTAACAGTTTAATAATTGCACTTACGCCTTACGATTTAATTTAACCCTTAAATTTAATTAATAATTAATTAGGAAACGCAATAATTCGCTGAACTGACCTATTACTTTAACATTATCTTTTAAAATCTGGAAGACACGTTATTACATATATTTATGATACAAATCTACAAGTAATGAGAACAAAAAAATGTTAAAACTTAATTATTATTACTAATTAATTAATTAATAATTAATAAAATAATAATAAACAAAAATACTAGACCTTCAGAACTGGCACAACGTTCCAATTAACATTTTTTGTGTATATATTAGAATCTATTTGTTTTAATGTACAAAATTCTTTAATTATGTACAGAATTCGGCTAAATTCGCTTCTTTTTAGGCACTTGGAATGTTTTTTTTTTGATTTAATTTCGCTTTTAGGCCTTTTTTGTTAATGTCTTTTCATGTGTAGCGATAAATGATCAGATCTGCTGAAAGATCTTTGACACAGGTGGCAACTAAACGGTTTTTGACCCGTGTGTTTTCTGTAATGTCGCGTTAATTCATCCGATCTCGCAAATTTCCACGTGCATCCTTCCCAAGAACATTCATAAGGTTTCTCACCTAAAAATTAGTTATAATTTAAGATCTTAATGATTTAAAATTAATTAAAACTACCTGTGTGTGTTCTTTTATGGGCTTTAAGATGCGAGCTTTTCGTGTAAACTTTGTGACACCCAACGACATCGCAACGATGAACTTTCCTCCTCCTCGCGTTGTTATTTCCGCCGTTGTTGTTGTTATTGTTCCCGATTTCCGTTTGTTGTTGCCTCCCATCTTCGCACAAATCCCCGTAATTGTTGTTGTTTAAAATCGAGGGGGGTTTAGAGTCGGCCGAATTCAAAAAAGATCTAATTTTGTAAGATTGAGATTAATAAGAAACGTTTTTGTCGGATACTTACGATGCGGCGTCTTTTAAACCGGGCAAATTCACCAAAGTCGGAGGATAAAGCAATCCTTTTCTTATCACTACGTCCGATTTTATCACATTGCGTTTAGGAATATCTGGAAAAAGGAAAACAAATAAAAATTGGAATTTGAGACGCGTCCTTGGCGACGGTTCAATATCGCCCGACCATTAATTATTTCTGCTTTACGACCACGTCCGTTTCAATATCGCTACAAACCGTTACGCGGCACGGTAAAAGTACCTCGGGTAAAAGTCGAATGTAGCTACCTTGACGAAATCGATCATTTTCTTCCCAACATTGCAAAGAAAATGTTTTTCTAAATCATTTTCGCCTCAATTAGGGTCCTTTTTAATTTTAACGCGAGACTTTGAGTTGTAATAGAACGTAACGTTCTAAAGAAAAGTGAAAAAAAATTTCGCGATTTACGAAATCGCAGTTTTGAGGGGGAACGAGAAGAAGGGGCTGTGAGAAGAGAAGCCGGAGGGCCGCGGGCGCGAATTGCGCCGACAAACATAGAAGGTCACAAGGGAGACCCTGTTACCAGCGGCGGATAGTCCACAACAGTAAAACCACTGCCTATGGCTATAACCATTGCTATATAGCTCTTAGGAAATGTGTATCAAGGTCTATACGTTTTAAGATTAGAACGCCAACGGGCAGCGCGAGAGAGTAAAACGAAACCGAGATCGATTCTTTACGATTTTTCGAAGTGAAAATCCGCGATTACGTTTACGCGCGGTGCCACCTGAAAAAGGGCTCCCCCCGTTTTAAAACGGTCCAAATACGATAAAACGAGCCATTTAAAGGAGCGCTTAATTGAGCCGTGATCGAGATCGCCGATCGATCGATCTGAAAAGTTTCGTTTCGAAATCGATTTGAATGGGAAAATCTAAACACGATTTTATCGATTATTTGATTTATCTTATCTTTTATACGGTATTAAAACGAGTACTTACGTTGGAAAAATAATTGACGTTTCTTTCTGTCACTGTCAAGTTTTGACGTTTCATAACCTCACTTAAAAAATAATTTTATTTATTAATCAAATTATAAAAAAACAATCTAATTTGTCAAATTGAAAAATTTTGTTGTTAAAATCATTTTTATACAAAAAAAAGTGTTTATTTCAATTAAATATTAAATAAATATTTTGTTATTAATCAAATTATTGTGAAGTCGATAAAAAAGTAAATGACGTTTTTACGGTTCATAACCTCACTTAAAAAATAATTTTTTTATTAATTAAATTATAAAAAAACAATCTAATTTGTCAAATTGAAAAATTTTGTTGTTAAAATCATTTCTATACGTAAAAAAATCTTTATTTCAACTAAATAATAAACAAATTTTGTTATTATTCAAGTTATTGTAACGTTGATAACAGTTGGCAACATTAACAGGGGATTTTATTTTGAAATAAATTTATTATTACATTTTTTTTACGCTTTATTATTATTAAAAAGAAATTATAATTTCGAATATCTCCTCGAAATTTCTTTTGAAACGATTATTTACTCGATATGGTTTCAAAAATATTTAATAAAATGACAGCTCTATCTGTCAAATTTGACAATTAATTATTTCAAATAGAATAAGTTGTAAAAAACGGTATAAATTGGTAAAAATAGGACAATTTGGATAAAAATATCTTTGATTTTGTGGAAATGAAGTCTATTTCCGTTTGTTAATTTCAATAAAGTGATAAAAAATTACTTATCTACCAGAACATATCAATATCATCAATACCATATACAGCTCTCAAAGTTATTTTTCACTCACCTAAACATTCTAAACATGGTCTAAACATTGCTCGTGACATCTCCTAACATTGTGCTTATTGACATTATTAACATTGTAGTGAAATAAGCAAAAATCGCAAAAATGTGTGGTTGGGTTGAAGAATCTATCACAATTTCAAAAATATGATAGATGGAGTGTCATGATATTAATGAAAATTGTTCGTATTGAGCTAAGAAAGCTTAATTCATAAACAGATCTTGCCTAGCTGTCACCATTTTCTAGATATAAAACGAAAATTGCAAAAACTTCCAATATACTAGCTGGTTTACTCTGAAAAACCAATCGCTACTCAAAAGCTATAATAGATAGAGTGACGTGCTATTAATAAAAATTGTTCGTATTGAACCTAGAAAGCCTAATTCATAATCAGTTCATGCCTAGCTCTCATTGTTTTATAGGAATAAAGTTAGAATCGTCAAAATCTCAATTTGAGTGGTTTATATTAACGAAATTTGTCACTACTTAAAAAATATAGTAGATAGAGTATCGTGGCATTCATAAAAATTGTTCATTTTGAGCCAAGAAAGTATAATCCATAAACAATTTCAGCCTAGCTCTCACCATTCTCTAGAAATAAAGCTAGAATCGTCAAAATCTCAATTTGCTTGGTTTATATTAACGAAATCTGTCACTATTCAAAAACTATAATCAATAGAGTGTCGTTGCATTGATGAAAATTGTTCGTTTTGAGGCAAGAAAGCATAATCCATAAACAATTTCTGCCTAGCTCTTACCATTCTCTAGAAATGGAGCTAGAATCGTCAAAGTCCCAATTTGCTTGGTTTATATTAACGAAATCTGTCACCATTCAAAAACTATAATCGATAGAGTGTCGTGGAATTCATAAAAATTGTTCGTTTTGGGCCAAGAAAGCATAATCCATAAACAATTTCTGCCTAGCTCTTACCATTCTCTAGAAATGGAGGTAAAATCGTCAAAATCTCAATTTCGTTGGTTTATATTAACGAAATCTGTCACTATTTAAAAATTATAATCTATAGAGTGTCGTGGCATTCATAAAAATTGTTCGTTTTGAGCCAAAAAAGCATAATCCATAAACAAATTCTGCCTAGCTTAAACCATTTTCTAGAAATAAAGCTAGAATTGTCAAAATCGCAATTGATGTAGTTTATTTTAACGAAATCCGTCACTATTCAAAAACTATAATTGATAGAGTGTCGAGATATGCATAAAAATTGTTCGTATTGAATCAAACATGCATAATTCATAACCAATTTTAACCTAGCTATCATCATTTTCTAGAAACAACCCTGCATTTGCCAAAAATGTGATTTCGCATCGTNGAAAAACCAATCGCTACTCAAAAGCTATAATAGATAGAGTGACGTGCTGTTAATATAAATTGTTCGTATTCAACCTGGAAAGCCTAATTCGTAATCAGTTCATGCCTCGCTCTTATTGTTTTATAGGAATAAAGTTAAAATCGTCAAAATCGCAATTTTCGTAGTTTATATTAACGAAATCTGTCACTATTCAAAAACTATAATTGATAGATTGTTGAGATATGAATAATAATTGTTTCTATTGAACTAAGAATGCATAATTCATAAACAGTTTCTGTCTAGCTCTCACTATGCTCTAGAAATAAAACTACGATTAACAAAATCGCAATTTGCGTGGTTTATATTAACGAAATTTGTCACTACTCAAAAACTATAATTGATGGAGTGTCGTGATATTCATAAAAATTGTTCGTATTGAACCTAGAAAGCATAAACCATAAATAGTTCCTTCCCAGCTGTCACCATTCTTTAGAAATAAAGCTACTATCGTCAAAATCGCATTTTGCGCGGTTTATATTAATGAAATCTATCACTACTCAGAAACTATAATCGATAGAGTATCATGATATTGGTAAAAAATGTTCGTTTTGAGCCAAGAAAGTATAATCCATAAACAATTTTTGCCTAGCTCTTACCATTCTCTAGAAATAAAGCTAGAATCGTCGAAATCCTAATTTGCTTGGTTTATATTAACGAAATCTGTCACTATTCAAAAACTATAATCAATAGAGTGTCGTGGCATTGATAAAAATTGTTCGTTTTGAGACAAGAAAGCATAATCTATAAACAATTTCTGCCTAGCTCTTACCATTCTCTAGAAATGGAGCTAAAATCGTCAAAATCCCAATTTCCTTGGTTTATATTAACGAAATCTCTCACTACTCAAAAACTATAATTGATAGAGTGTCGTGGCATTCATAAAAATTGTTCGTTTTGAGCCAAGAAAACATAATCTATAAACAATTTCTGCCTAGCTCTTACCATTCTCTAGAAATGGAGCTAGAATCGTCGAAATCCCAATTTGGTTGGTTTATATTAACGAAATCTGTCACTTTTCAAAAACTATAATCAATAGAGTGTCGTGGCATTAATAAAAATTGTTCGTTTTGAGCCAAGAAAGCATAATCCATAAACAGTTCCAGCCTAGTTCTCACCATTCTCTAGAAATAAAGCTAGAATCGTCAAAATAGCAATTTCCGTAGTTTATATTAACGAAATTTGTCACTATTCAAAAACTATAATCGATAGAGTGTCGTGACATTCATAAAAATTGTTCGTTTTGAGCCAAGAAAGCATAATCCATAAACAGTTCCAGCGTAGCTCTCACCATTCTCTAGAAATAAAGCTAGAATCGTCAAAATAGCAATTTCCGTAGTTTATATTAACGAAGTTTGTCACTATTCAAAAACTATAATCGATAGAGTGTCGTGTTATTCATAAAAATTGTTCGCTTTGAGCCAAGAAAGCATAATTCATAAACAGTTCCAGCCTAGCTCTCACCATTCTCTAGAAATAAAGCTAGAATCGTCAAAACTCAATTTGCGTAGTTTATATTAACGAAATCTGTCACTATTCAAAAACTATAATCGATAGAGTGTCGTGTTATTCACAAAAATTGTTCGTTTTGAGCCAAGAAAGCATAATCCATAAACAGTTCTAGCCTAGCTCTCACCATTCTCTAGAAATAAAGCTAGAATCGTCAAAATCTCAATTTGCGTAGTTTATATTAACGAAATCTGTCACCATTCAAAAACTATAATTGATAGAGTGTCGAGATATGCATAAAAATTGTTCGTATTGAATCAAACATGCATAATTCATAACCAATTTTAACTTAAATATCATCATTTTTTAGATACAACCCTGCATTTGCCAAAAATGTGATTTCGCATGGTTTTTATTAAATAAGCTACCACTACACAAAAAATATAAATGATAGGATACTATGATATTTGCAAAAAATGTTAGTGTTAAAGCAAAGAAACATAAT